ATCCAGGATAAAATTTCTTCATGTCCAGATCGTATAGCTTTTCTAAACAAATTGATTAAGCTTTGTGTTGTGATTTTAGATGAAGATTTTTCATTATCCACGATACCTTCAGGAGGTATTTCTATAGGATCAGGTGCAACAATAAGCATACTATTCTGTAAATCTCGTATTAAATCTAATTCTATATTTTGATTTTTAGTAAGCTCAATTTCATCAAAATCGTCAAGATCCTCCGCTGGTAAAGAAGTATTCGTGATTGTTTTTTGCTGATCGTTTCCCTGGGAAACGGTTTTTATATCACATGATGAATTATTATCTGAAGATAAGTTTTGATCTCGGATTTTCTTCTCCCTAATACTCTGAATTATCTCTTTACTAACCTGTTCCTTATACATTGAATCCAGAAATTCATTTTCTTCTTTCTCTTCCAGGCGACGTAAGTCGCTTTGCAAAGCAAATGATATGCTTTCCGCGGGGATAGGAGATGTGGAGGTCTCTAATTCCTGTTGTGTATCTGAATTTCCGGAGGCAGTCACTTCGTGGCTAGATGTGTTAGACTCCTCATGAGTATCGTTAGAATTTAAAGTGTTATCGGTTATATCAGATACCGAAGCATTATTGGGTTCATCAGAATTTGAAGCGTTATCAACTATATTATATGTGAGATTTTCATCACATCGTAAGTCTATCTGCTTAGAACTATCATCTTGGGGATTTTGTTCCAAATTTTCAGATGAAATATCTTCTGTAGATGGGATATTATTAACGATTTGATCTTTCTTTTCTGCGGGACAGGGCATTTTGTGCCTAATTTCCTCAATATCATTTCTTAATTTTGTTACTTTAGCTTTAAGGTTTATATTCTCTTCGTTACTTTGCTCTAGTTTCTTGATTCTAATCTCATACTCAGCTTCACGTTCGGCATTTTCTTTTATAGACTGTTAAGTTTATCTCGTAAAATCCGTTGTCCATATCTCCCAATAGTTTCTTCTTTCAATCTTTTTGGAGTTTGTTTAGCTAGATCTCTAATAATTTCTTCTTCCAAATTTTTTGGGGATGAGGTTATAGCCATTTTACAGCTATTTTCAATAACATTTATGACTTTTGTTTTATCACCTCTCTGATTAGGTATCAATATACTTACCTGCTCATTGCTAAATTTAAAACCATTTCGAAGACATCTCCGTGCTTGATTTCTCTTTTCACTACCTGTAAGATTTTTTAAAAATTTGGAGCTATATTGACCAAGCTCAGATTCGCTCATATTTGGAGTAAGTTTGTATTCCTCAACAATTTTCGTTGCAATTGCCAACATGATCCAATGTTATAGTAGGTCAAGTAGGTTATGAGTAATTATTTAGGTTATATACATTATTGAATATATTTTTATTGAAAATTTTATATTAACTAGTTTGTAGAAGCAAAAAATCCCCCTATATTGAAGCTCCTACCTGCAAAATTCACCTATTCACTTCTTATTGATTAAGCAATTACTATAACATACCATTTTCCTGAAGTATGTTAACCGTTTTTTTCCATTCCTCATCAGTATCTAGCCATGATGAAGTGATTCCATTCTCTTCGAGAGAACGGTGAATTATTTTTCACTTATTAATCTTTCTCGTACTGTCATATCCATATATTTACTGGGATCTTCTTTGGCCTCCTTTGCATAACCACACATTTTCACATCAGTTTGCATTCTATTACAGAATGCTATGGAATCAAACTTATCTTTCTCAGTTATGGTAACGAACTTATTTGGATCCTCACCAAGTTCAATGGCTTTTTGTTTTAATCGTATTTCTCGCTGCTCTCTGGTTTAATATCCAGGTGGATATGATATTTGCTGTGGAGATACTTCGTTAATAGTTTTTGGTTCATTGTTTACAGGTATGTTGGGAGAAATTTCAGAAGATTTAAATTTATCGTTTACGATCTCAAGAGATATGGATATATTAGTAGACTTAGATAATAAAGCAACTGAATATTCTGTTTGATCTATTATTAAATCAAAAAGATCCTGGATCATTTTAGTAATGAATGGATTGATAAATGTATTCTTACCTTTTTTGATATAATTAGTGGTCGATAACTCAGATATCTTTTTTTCTGGTTCAGGAGTTTTAACTTCAGATATGTTAAATACAGGGATATCTGTGGAAGTGTTGACGAGTGTCTCAGATTGAGGTGTGTCAGAAAATTCCTCAATATCTTCAACTGTTTCACATATTTTAGCCACGATTTTAGATCAGTCGAGAATATACTGATATACTCTTACTCCACTATCACGTGAACATGTACGATCAATACCTATTTGCAAGAATTTTTTTCCAAGTATATTATTATTTGATGGCTTTTCTTCATTAGCTTCACATCATGTATAATACATTTGATATAACATCTTACAACCTGGTTTTTTGACACAGTTATCAGGCCATAATGAGATATGATCGATTATGAATCAAATGGGATTAGAAAGGTGACCTCGCATCGTTTCGACTTTTATTTTAGTATTGGGGATATCTTGTGGTATCCAATTTGAAAGATCTTGTTTAAGTAAGTAACCCATAAAATTACTAGGTGTATGAGGATGTTCCAAAATTTTTCCAAGTTGCTTAAAATATCCCATATTACCCTTACTTCGAGGAGACACATCTAAGCATACTATACGCCCATCACCCATTTCAACACGAAGTGGGGCATCATGATTATTAAGAACCATATATTCAGTGAAATCCTTAATTGTTTTTGGTTCAATCCCCTTATGCTATTGTTAGCCTGATAAAAGTTACATGGTATAGTTATGTACCGTGACTATCGCGTCACATACCCTGGAAATTTAGGATAGCATTAATAATTAGCATAGGGAATGTAGTCATAGAGGCTTATATAACTTACCCATAGTTTATTTTAGCCCCGATAGTTTGGCCTCATCAATTTATGCATCAACAGTATAGCTGTGGGATTAATAATTAATAAGCGGGTGGGTAAATAAATAGCAGCAGTGTAGAAAAAAAGACAGACACGAACCTGTACAAAGTAAATTAAATAATAAAAAAGGGATTAAAAGAGAAACGATAGTTACTTTGAGTTGCCATAAATAGAAAGTAATAATTAACAACTTATCTTTTCGAGTACGCACCATTTTAGGAAGGATAACCGCCGCTAGAAGGACATAGCCCGGGGTATCAAGAAGAAAATGAGTGCCGGGAAAGAAAAGAAGAAAAGTTAATTAGGACTGCCCAGCTAAATCAATCATACATGCCTCAACTTATCTTTAGTAACGTGAACTTTGGACCAGTGAAGCGACTGACTCGCCGTTTTCCGGCCCAACACTATATAGTTATATATGGCTCAATAATAAGAGATTTTAAATGGTTATTAGCCTTTTGCCATTTTCCCGATACCATTCCTGTCTCATTTAAAAGAATAAGTTTTCTGGCTTGAATACAACTATTAAATCTTCCCAATATTTTTCCGAGATCTGAGGATGCAAAGAATAATTCTGGTCCTAAGACTTCCTTACCAATAAAATCAGTTAAGATGTTTTTTCCTGAACGGAATGGAGATCATAATACTAAAACAGTTCCAGGTTTTTTTTCTGGATATTGTACAAGATAAGCCAACCAGTTAATAACATATTCAGAGAGGTTTTTATCACCATTACACCAAACATTTTCTATATGCCAAGTAATTGGATTAATAAGAGCAGAATTAATTTCAGTTGATGGCCGAACTTTGAATCCTAAAAACAGATTGAAGAATTTGGTATTCAATGGAGAAGTGTTTGGAGAATATGGTAGAAAATCAATATTACTGTAAAGAATCCGACCTTTTGAAACTGCCCAATTTATCAATGTTTTTAATTCTACTGGTTCCCCACATGTTCGGTTATATTAATTTTGTAGCTGGCAAGATCTAGTTTGGATGCCATATCAAAATAAAGACCATTATCTGAATCTTCCATTTTAAATAGCCACAGTCTTGAAGTTGTTTGAACGCATGTGACTGTTGCTTGAATTGCTTCATATATCTCTTTGTGTGTATATTTTTGTTCAGATATACACATATCTAGCAAGTTTTCCCACACAAAATAATCGTTCGGATCAGAAATTCTGGATTTTTCTAGTTTGAGAAAAATTGAAAATTTGATTTCCCTATCCTTGGCTGATTCATTAATAGTAAGTTTTATCGAAGGTTTTCTTGTTCCATAATCTCGCTTATCATTTGTATGATAACAATAGAAACTATACGATTTCTTATTTCGAATAACGTATGTATTGTCATTCTCATGTATGTGATCATTTTGGTCTTTATCTTCTTGTTTACATAATGGGCAATTTGAAGGTGTTATGCGCTTAAGACAAAAGGTGTTAGAAAAATTTTCCGTAGGGTACAATACCTTATATCTTGAAATATTAGCACGTTCCAGTAACTTCTTTACTAATTCCAGCTCTGTTTCACTACTTTCTATGCTATCATTACATATCCTAATTAACTCTGAAACAGGTATGGAAGAATTTTCCATATTTAATCCTGAAGTGGATGAAGGAGAATTGTTTATATTTGACTTTAAAGTATTCAAGATTGGACTATCTATAACTGGCGCTTCGTTATTAGGTGGGTGGAGCATAAAATTAAAGACAGAACTATCTTTAAGAAATAATGATTTCTTTATTCAGACATGTTCATTAGTATTTTTAATAATTTTTGGAGTTCCGAGTATTCACAAAGAGAATGGGCATTTATTTGCAATGTTATCAACAATATTTTTGCTTTGTAAACTAACTGGAAGTTTTTTGCGAATGAGCTCAGTAAATATTGCAACTTTGGCAATGTTTTTGAGACGAAGACCAAAAGTTGAGATATGAAATGACATTTTTTTATTATCACTACTGCTAGCAATTATTAAAATATGGGAATCCTATTCTGGATATATTTCTTTATAGGTTTTTGAAAAAGCACGGCAAAGTAAATCCTGTATTTCTCTGATTGTAAGCTTGGGATTTATTTTATCAAATTTTTCTCTGGATAAATCAAAATTGATAATAGGACGAAGTGGGTCATCTTCGCCAATATATTCATGTAATGAATGGCCTGTACATTCTGTAAGTATCACTTCTATTTCATCCTCAGAATCTGTACCAAGGAATTGTTTTGGTCTTACACTATCATCACGGATTTTATATAAATATTCTGCAACACTCTCAGCTTTAAACCCCTGGTAGTAAAATGCCCCACTATTTTCTATTGCTTCCAATGGCTCAAAAAGCCTTCCTCTAGCTCTGGCTCGAAATTCTCGGAGTTTTCAGGGTCTCTGGTCAGGAAGGTGGTGCTTCCATCTCAGTTGGCACATGAGCAATATTTTCTTGGAAATTTTGAATATCCATAGTCAGTTGTTTTTGTAATATATTACTCTGATAAAAAAGTTTAAATCGAAAATAATTATTGAATATTTTTACCTAAGATAATATTATACCAAATCAAAAAATAATAATCAGAAATAACAGGTATTTATCTTTGCCAGTATCTTTCTAATGAGGGGGAGGTCTGTAGACGGCCCTGCTATCAGCCAGAAGGGTATGCTATTCATTGAAAAAGGCGTCAACGTGTCCCTTGTTTAGAATGTGGTAAACCAACTGCTTCTGAGTATAGTTTATGTAATTTGCATATAGATAAATACCATGCTAAAGCCCATTATCATCGAAAAAAGCTGGAGAAGATAGCACAGAATAGTCAATCAATAGAATCTTTGATACAAATCCTTAATAAAACTAAAATGTTGTCTGTTATCTCT